TATGTCTTTTTTTCAATAGATTGTAATATGTTATTTAAGTATATAAGTACAATGTATCAGATGTCTAAAGCACATGGTTTATTTTCTGATTCAAAGTCTCTGATTAAAAAAATCTTAAATATGAGATGTAAATTATGAATATATTATACATGTGTGTAACAAATTAAGAGTTTTATTTTTCATATGTTATCATGCCAGAGAATGTAATATAATAATATATGTTTAATTGTAGTCGGCAGAGTGTTGGTCGTGGTCAATCAATGAATATGGCTCGTAAATTTTCTACGATGTCACAAATGATATCGCATGCAGATAGTGAATCATTACCATCTTCGCAGGCATCTAATATTTATGAACCTGAGGATCGTTTTGAGAATACAAATAGATTTTGGACAAGGTTAAATAAATACAATATAATAGCTATTTATATCTATTTGTATTTTACATAATTTTTTATTTCAGAGGTGTGGTAACCGTTACATCAGACGGAAAGAGACATGTTGCACTTGGACGCGGTTATACACTATATGAATTTCCAGAAGAGAATCCTAAGGTTGACGACTACATTGGAAAAGTATATGAGAAACGATTAAAAGTATATATTAAAGTTGTATTATAATATAAAACTTAAACAACAATTTATGAAAATTATCATTATAAGCATATAAATTATTGCAATTATTCTATTCATTGATGTCTACTGCAATTAATCCAATCGAGACAATTTGTTGTGTTGGTGAAATGTGGAATACACATTTAATCAATTGTAATTTTTTTTATTTTCTACAGGGATCATATGAATATGGAGAGGACAAGTTTAAGGATAGACTGCAAAAATGTTACACTTGTTCCATCAAAACAACAAAACATTGTGAAAAATGCTTAACATATTATTGTAGCAGACCATGTCAAGTAAAAGATTGGCCACGACACCAGATGGAATGTGAACGAATACCGTAATTACATTTAGATATATTAATTAGTAATGAGTTTATCTCTTAACATATTATGGCATTTATAATCATTTATATCATTTTTATTTTCAAATTATCTATTTTTTCTTTTCTCTTTTGTTTTAAAGAACCTTGTATATACAATTGTTATTTTATTATCAAAATAGACCAGCCATACATAATATATTATGAATACTTATCTATCATTTATTCAAGTCTACTTTTGTTACAAATTCATACAATTAAAACTTGGAATTTTAAAGAAAAAAATTTTTTACAGAGCGTTAGTAGAAGAAACAGTTCAGAATATGTCAACTTTGCAAGTTAGTAAAGAAGAAGACCAAGAAAAAGAGGCATCAAAGCCAAAGCAAGCAATTAATAAAACAATTGTATCTAATGATGTAAAACTACGGCGGCCCAATATACCACAAAATTCAATCAATGGTCAAAGTAATGGTGTTACCATATCAAAAACTGAAAGAGTGAACCAATTAGTAAGCAATGCTGTGACCAGAGATTTTTCTCAGCAGAGTGAAAAGCCTAAATATAACAGTACTGCTGGAAATACTGATCAGTCGAAAGGAGATGAAGAATATTCAATCAATTCAAGCAAAGTTGACTCGATTCGGCCAAATTATAATCGTAATCAAAATGATGTTACAAATACGACTAATAACAACAAAGACATAGTTGATAATAATGATAATATAAAAGATAGAAGTTATAATACTGATAAAAATCAGTCTTTTCAAAGACATGAATTTCAGAATAGTAGAAAGTCCCCTCCATACAAAGGTGGACAAAATGCCATACGAACATACAGTGAAACTTCTTCTTCTACCACCAGTAATATAGACGACGATCTAGCATTCAATAAAGATACATATTTATCGAACAAAGAGTTTACTGAGGTTGAAGTTGTAGTGCCATTGGACAACAATGAATATTGGATAACTAAATTGAAAGATATAGAAACGCGTACGACACTAATGATACAGTTGCAAAATGTCGCAGCAAAATCGCGTAACGTGAAGCCAATTATCGGCAATATTTATGGCGTTTTATATGAAAAAATCTGGCATAGAGCTATGATAATATCTTTGAATCCTGTAATGGTTCATTTCATTGATTATGGCAATGATGAAATACTGCAAAAAGACGCTGATATCAGAGACATAGAAGATATGCCCAAAGTTCCTAAGTTCGCTAAAAAAATTCAGTTAACTCCAGCCACAGCTGAAAAGTACAAGGATCTACGGTATGGTAATCGACTATCTGTTCGAATGTTGTCCAGAAATACTGATGGAACAATAATAGTGGAAGTGCAAAAGCCACTGGAAGATTTATCTGTGTGTACAAAAGAAAGTGCTCCACAGTCAGATGTGAATAATGGAGCGATAGAGAAGACTGTGCCGCAAGAAAAGTTTAAAATGCCATCAATTATTAATATAAAAGCTTCCAAGATTCAAATACCTAACGTTTTCGATGCTTTTGCTAATTTGTTGACTCAAAAAGCGGTTACTGAATTAAAAATTGAGGGCGCCATAGAAATTGTTGAATCCACAGAAACGAATGTTTATAGCGCAACTTTGTGTCCAAGTGTCTATTCCGAAGACGTTGTGATGGTTTTAACGGATTTGCAACAAGAATGCGAGAACATGAAAAAATCTATGAACTGCAGGTAAATATTCTTAATAAAGATGCACAATTATAATCACAGATGATTGGAATAAACTATTTAAATGAAATATTTAATTTTTTTTAGAGCACAAACAGAAGATTTGGTTTGCGGTAAAGGCGTAGATGCCTGGTATAGAGGATATGTTTTAACATCATCCGACTTGCGTATTATTACAGTGGATGAAGCTAAAATTCTGCCGGTAAATGAAATTTTGCCATGTCCTGAGAAGTTTTTAAATATTTGTGCATTTGGAGTGGTATGCAGAATGAATCGTCCTACTATCAAATTGGATGTAAGTATTTATACCATAGAAAGTTATTACAACATAAAGAGATAATATCGCATAATATTGAGTTGTTGCACGCAAACGCGCGCAAAATTATAAAATAGCCATATTAGATTTGAATGATACAGATTGTTTGACAAAACATGTAATGTATAATTGTTAAATATCTATGTATTAAATCTCTCTTAAAGTTACAGAAAAATTGAGAGAAGATGTATTTTAAATTTATCAAGTAATCTGTCATAATATTACGGTAGTTTTTGAATTTAAATTATACATATTTTATTTATGTATTCATTTATTATCATTAAATATTTTTTCAAGGAACAAATATATACGTTCACAACATTAATGAATCAAGAGAACTGCAAGCAAGGAAGTCTTAAAATAGATATAACTATAAATGATGAAATCGCGACAGCTGTGATAAAGCCATGGGAATCTTTAATAACAAAGTCGACTCCTGCACTTGCGGAATTAAAAAGTGGATCAAAGGTTTGATTGCATTTAAAAATATGTTTATGGTCCATAGTCCATAGTTCATATCGATAACATTCGCTAAACACATATATGTGTCCATAACACTTAAAGGGTTAAAGGAATACTAAATATTAATATATTTTATATATATATATGTATATAGGGGATGAGGCTGATAAAAAGCTCACCTTGAATAACTTGTAAACTATGCGTTGTATAAAAAATTGTTGCATACAAATGTTACATAATTTCGAGGGGATTGTAAGCAACAATTTTTTATACAACGCATAGTTTACAAGTTATTTAAGGTGAATCTTCATCAGACTCATCCTGTGTATATGTATGCATATATGTAACCCCTCTCCTTCCACACACATACACACACGCGCGCGCGCGCCAAGCAATAGATTCTCATATAACATGAATAGGAAAGAATCTGAACCGGTTTCTAGATTGAAAACGTTGATTCGGCAACTCAGGCCTAGTTTCGTGTTATACGAATTATATAGGTTATACGTATATAGGTTGTATGTGCATATGGAAATATATTTACAAAAGATGTAAGAGTTATAAAAATTAAAGTAAATAAATATATATACAGGTTGTACCCATTTTGCATGATCCACTCAAATATCTCAGAAACACCGCTTTAAATCGAAAAATGTTTCAAATAAAAGTTGTAGGGTTCAGAGAAGGGAAAAAATAGGGATATTAGACTGCATTTCGAAGTTCACTGTCAGTACTGAAAATCTACAATGCAGAGTGTTCTTCAAGTACGTGGCCATACTCTTTGGTTTATTTCAATTAAAAAAACTTCATATATAAACATGTGTCCTAAACGGCTTAGTTTCCGAAATACAGGGATCACCAGACTTGAATCCTTTGGATTTTTTTCCTGTGGGGGCATCTCAAATCATTGGTTTATATCATCCCAGTTGACAATCAGGATGGTTTGAGGAATCATATAGTTGCTTCATGCCAGGCCATACGCAACACACGATATCTTCGAGCGTGTACGTCAATCTTTGAAAAGGAAGACCGAATGGTGTATCTCATGGCAGAAGGTGGTCATCTTCAACAATTCATCTAATTGCTTCATTTCTAATTTTTAATTTTCTGGCTATTGTATGCTATTTTATTTGAGAAAAAATATGATGTCATTTCAGCTACATATTTTTTCTTCAAGACAACCGTGTTTTTTTTTACACTAATTGATTCTTCTCATTTTATGCAGAAAAGTGTTGAGATAAGATAATTGAGAAATGAATATTTAACGAGATATTTCATAGTTTATGTAAAATTATGTCAAATTAAAGTATAAAATATATCTTGTGAACTATTTAATTTTCGGCGAGGAATCGATTTATATAAAAAAATAGGGTGGTTCCATTTAAAGAAATGAAGATGTCCTTCAAATCTCTGAAGCACCCAAGATCGAATTAATATTCCTATCTTTTTTCCCCCTCCAAACCCTACAATTTTTATTTGAAACATTATTTTATTTAACGCGGTGTTTCCGAGATATTTGAGTGGATCATTTAAAATGTGACAACCTGTATGTAGCTTAAGTAATGTGCCCATTTATTTGTTTTATTCAGTATTTTGTATCTAATGCTAATAATCGTGGGTTGCATGTAATTCATTGTTGATGATTGTGATTTTAGATATGTCTTACCAGTTACCGAAATCAATATGTTATGTTTGCACGTTCTCTAAATGAGTCTGAAGTAGAATATTATAATGATACTATGCAACGTATTGCACAATGCGCTCGATCAGGTAATGTAACTGAACTGAAGTGATGTTATATGAAATAAATAGGAGGAGGATGAAATTATAAATCACTTGCAATCATTTTATTTGATCGCAGCACCGAATCTGTCTGAACCTCCGACTACAGGAAAAATAGTCATTGCACCATTTTATGATGAAAATAATTATCGCGCAATGGTCATGGAAGTAAAGGATGACAAAGCTAAGATAGCATACATTGATTTCGGAAATATAGATTATGTTAATATAAAAGAACTTAAAGTATTACCAGAGGATTTGGCACGGGTTTGTGATTTCATACTAACATAAAATTACCCTCGGATATCAGTAATAATCTTCTCTGTACATTTTTTTTACAGCAACGGAGTTGTTCGGCGAAAATAGTTTTGAAAGATGTTCCTCGCGACGCACCTATGACCAAAGAAACTGACCAGTATCTTCGCAATCTAACGGGCAAAGAAATACCTTTGACATGTGTATATGAAGGTACACCATCCACGGATGGAGTGCACTTGACGATGCCTACTGGTGAAAGTGTTAACGATGAGCTAAATAAATTATTGATACCAAATTGGAAACAACAGAAGGATGATAATGGTAATTAAAGATGACTTACTATAAACGCCTTGAATGTAATGCAATACATTTCTTTTTATTTACTATTTATCTTAATAAATATTTAAAATATATTATAATCAATAACTTAAAATACACCATATTGCGTTCCTTAAATCTATTTTTTAACGCGAGATATTTAAAAACTACATGCAAAATACTGCTCTTATCCAATAAAATTAGAGAAAATGTATTGCATTAGCTTTTTTTATATTTTAACTAGAGAGTGTTGTCACTTATATAATATAATATATAAATTATTAACTATTTAGAAAATTTTTTGCAAAAAAAAATTAAATGTTTAAAAAATTAAAAAATTTGTCTATTTTTTGAAAAAAAAAACAAAAATGTTTTTATTTTGAAGAGAATTGTTGAAATTCTAAAAGTGCTTAGCCTAATTTTTTTAATATTTGTATCTTTCTAATATAAATTTTGAAGTTCATTCTTTTTTTTTTTTTTTCAGATGAGCGCTATATGCTAAATGATATAAAAGTTGCCAGTTTAGGAAATATAGGTGACACAGTAGATGCATTTGTAATACATATACAAGAAATTGGAAAGCAGTACATGTTAAGTCCACTCGATACCGAAATGTGGCAACATATTGACGAAGTGATGTCCCCAATGGTAAATATCGCGTTAAAACAGTATTTATACAGGGTATCCCAGACTTACCGTAACAGCCGTTAATGGCAGATTCCTGAGGTCATTCGGAGATGAAATCTTAATGCCAAAATGTCGCTCAGGGACATCGCATATTGAAAGGGCCCTTCCACAACACTTTGCTCAGCTCGATCGAAATAATAACACTTGAAATTGTTCACTTTGTTTCTTTGTACACTGTTCGCAAGATAATATAAATACAATACAATATAAAAGAAAATTATTTTGTTGCAGATAAAGGAATTCTGTGAGAAAACAGAATATTATATACCAAGAATGCAGGAATTATGCTTAGCGTTATACAAAGGAGGATGGTTTCGTGCAGTATGCTTTGATCCGAAAGACACGGACACAACATCCCAAATTTATTTCCTTGATTACGGAAACATTGATTCGGTGAAACACCAAAACATAAGACGAATGCCTAAAGATTTTATCACACCTATGGCGATGGCAAACTTGTGTACAGTTATCAGTAAGTATTAGTTATTAGTAAGTTTAGCACAAATACAATACTTGTTATTCAAACCCATGTGTTTGTTTATCACAGATTTAGCGCCTCTCGATAATACTGGAAATTATTCGCCTACTGTAGAACAGAAAATAAAAGAGTTAGTGCCTAGTGAATCGTTAGTAAAAATCAAGATCGTAAATTGCATTGACGATGGCGATTATAAAGTTGAATTTCCGGATATTCATGCAAAACTGGTACAAGGAAATTTCATAAAATAAGTGGAAAAATTTTAATTTACAGTTTTATAGTTTTACGAATATTATATGATTTTATTTGGAAAATTACTATTTTTTTGTTTTTAAATTGTCTCTCATAAGATAATATTTCAACTATTTTATTATATATATTTATAAATATATAAATATATATAATATATATGATTATAACAAACGTCAATGATTTAATGAAATAATTGTTATTTTTTATATTCTAATCAAGTATCATGATTTTTGGTTTCTTAAGGAGTAATTTTTATTTTCACATTTTATATTTAAGAATTTTCTTTTTTTTATTACAACAAATATTGTAATACTAATTTTCAAATGATGAAACAAATTTTGTATTTCTTAATAAAAAATAAATTTTTGTAACTTTTAGTTCTATTCTATAAATAATTTTGTCCTATATTTATGTAGTTACTATAAGATGTATGTACTATAATATACTATAATATATATATATGTCGTATAGTTTTTCCTAACCTATTTTACGTGTATCATTGTCCTAACCTTCCTGCATGTGTCAATTGTGTATGATCGCGTTAATTCAGATGACATATCTTCGGGAGGATCCCCGTTGTACGCAAAGTAATAGGCTTCCAAGAAACAAAAGCAATAAACGATGAACGTACAAACGAGACACCCTTACGAGGGTTTGCTGCATAAATACACGAATGCTATGAAGGGCTGGCAGTACCGTTGGTTCATCCTGAGTCCGGAGACTGGTGAACTGCACTACTTCCTCAGCGAGTCGGAGAAGAATCAGAGACCACGGTGTTCAATTTATTTAGCAGGCGCCGTAATAGCTCCCAGCGATGAAGACTCGAATACATTCACCGTTAATTCCGCTACAGGTGAACATCAGGAAGACTAAACTTGAACTTGTGCTGTAGTACTAATTTCCCTCGCATAATTCTGAAAAATAAATACAATATCAATCAGATTTGACTTCATTAAGCTTAATTATTGAATTTCCAATATCGTTCTAGGTGACATGATCAAATTGAGAGCCACAAATGCTCGAGCTCGTCAGGAATGGGTGGACAAGTTGCGGGCAGTGACAGAAATGTACACTAGAGCTATCGCCAGTAGCCATCCTCCGTTGCCACCGCGAGAACATTCCGGGAATCCAAATAGAAATCCTGTTGTTAAGCTAGAAGTGTTGGATGCCTTTGCCAACTGTCAGGAGCAATTGAGAAAAGTGGAAAAACTTAATCTTGCCTTAGCACAATCTATTGAAAATTCGGATCTACATCTAGATCCAGATCTCTTGGTTCTCAAAGCCATGTCACACATCACCTTGCATACACTGAGCCAATGTCTCAATATATTATATCAATAGTAAATCATATATAGGTATTATGCTTATATACGATTTATTCTTAATTATTGAAATTTTTATACTTGCGAATATACGATTTAACTCTCTATTGCGATGTCCGTATATATTTTATCTTGAACAACGATTTGCCTATATATGATTAGAGCTGGCTTCAGATATTCATACGTAATTTGCTGAAATTAAGATTGAGACCTCTTGCCAAAATATCTAATAAATAATTTTTAATAATCAAATATATGATTTAATTTTTATCAGTAATTTATATAAATTTTTTATGTATTATGAAAAAGAACGATAAAAATTGGTTCTTTTATAAAACTAAAAAAAACACTTTCATATGGCCTTAAATTTTAATGATAAATCTATTTTAAAAATTATATTAATATGTTACACATATTACGTTATATAATAAAAATTGCAATATTTTTCATATTGATGTATACTTACACTTGACAATCCTATTTTATTTTGTGATTTAACAGCATTCTTTTTGATAAATATATTCAGAAACGATTGCCTTTCTGCTTGCTGTCTGAATCCAGCCTGATCAATGATGATCTCGGTGTATGTTCTTCCAGCTTTAAAATATTATATAAATATAATTGAAAAACGTAAGATATTATTTTAATTTTCATAAAAGATAATTCTGTTAAGGCTTTGTACAAAGCATATATAAACCCCTAGATTTTATTATGATTAGAATAATTATTTCTATATTCTTCTGCTCTTAATAAAAGTTGATTTATTGGAAAAACAAGATTGTAATGAAAGTCAAATATATATATATAAAATATACTACTACATATTCGTTTATTTTCTAATAACATCTGTACTGTAAGATAAAATCTACTTAACTATATAATTTCCATATATTTTTTGCTTATTATTGTAAAAAAATTATGTTATTAATATTTAAATATAAAAAAATTATATGGAAAACAGAATTAATCGGTTTTCGTTAAAAGTATTTCTAAAATAAAACTAATACGTTAAAAGTAAAAGGAAAACAGCGTTCTCATCACAGTATGATGCAAGATTCAATGTCAAGAGCATGCAAATGGGTGAAGGTAAACGGGCGAGTAACTTTTCTCTCTCGCCGAGGAGATCAGACGTGATCGTTTTTAAAGTAGTGCCGATCTTGCTCAAGGTACTTTAAAGATCCAAGTGTGTGGATTAATATATTGTATACGTGTTAACTGCGTAACATCACTTATTGTGAATTATTTATTTGTGTATATAGAAGGAATTTTAAAATATTTATTCCAACATTCTTTTTTATTTAAAAAATTTAGTCGGATGAAACATCAGTGTGAATAATCCTGCCGAATTATGCCGCATTCATCACGTCCTGAAATATTGACGGAAACGGCAGGCGTGAAGATCGTGATGTCGCTGCCAGAAGAAGAAGTGAATTTGTTCTCACCGGGAAAGATTGTTCTTAAACTGCGGAAAGTAAACGCAGCATCGGACGTGCATGCTAAATCTTGCGGGTTTCATTTGACCAAGTCGAAATGGGATCCGTATCCATGGATTGGCTATGTCGAAAACAATAGTCCTGCCGATTTAGCAGGATTGAGGTGAGTTTTGTATGAGCCTTTGAACGAACTCTTGAATGAAATCAAAAGTAATTAGTTGTCTTAAGATTTGTTTTTAGTGTATAGCTCAAAATATATTTGTCTTTATATTTTATACTATATTAAAAATTAAATTGTAAGCTTTTTAATTCATATTTTTTAATTCAAATTATTTGCTATGTTACATCAGAGCTGGTGATTGTCTATTGGGCGTTGACGACATTGACTTGTTAGGGCTGAAGATTAAGGATATCGCTACTTTGATTCGTAGTGAAGAAGGTGCACGCGATGTAAATTTTTCCATCTGGAGATATATACATCAAAAAGAGGAGCGAAGTGATGCCGGATTAGCCTTGAAAGGTCCACTTCCGGATGTAGCTAAAAATCTTGCAAATGCATTGTCAGGAACGGTGGGTTTCATCCACACTATTTACAAGCCATCTGTTTAGTGATAGAATTAATTTTGAATCACTAACTCTCATTAACTCACTAATTAATCATTAATTTTTTAAATCCAAGATTAGATTTTAAGTTAAATATGAAATTTTCTCTTATCAAAGAATAGTAAATTTTAATTATAAAACTGAAAATGTATTACTTTTAAATATTCTCTTTAAATTAAATGAAGTTTTCGAGAATTCTTTTTGTACTCGTGTTATAAAATTCCTTTTTTTTTAGGTCCATGCCTTGGAGTGTCCAATTTGCTTGGAAAGCGCTGCGCCTCCAGTTTCACAATGTGTCCATGGGCACATCCTGTGCGTTGCCTGCAGGCCGAAGACGACACGTTGTCCGGTCTGCAGGGTCCGCCTTGGTCAAGGTCGATGCCTTCTCGCGGACAAATTGCACAGAGTACTTCGCGACGCCTTCAACGTGAATAACGATGGAACAGTGGACAGAACGCCTGTCGCATTCGATCGTTGTAATTTGCGCGATCAATTGTTCGGTAAAGATAGTAAGAAGCAAGAGACCGCGGTCGCAAGTCCAGCGAAAAGTAACTGCAGCGCATTGAAGCCTAGACAATTCTTATTAGCCAGGTTGCTACTCGGCGGCAAGGAGAAAGCTGCCTCCGTCGATAATCTAACTAGAGTGTCCGAAATGACGGAAAAAGCAACGGTGATTTCCGCTGGTGGGACGGCAAACGCCAACCGTTTGCATGTACGATTATCCTTGAACGATCGCACCAAGTCCGCTAGTACCGGCGAGCTCTCGAGAAACAGCGAAACTGGTATCCACGATTCGTCGTCGCAAATCGCTGAATTGTCCGCGATGAACACCAGCCAGCAATCGCTGAGCTTGCCACGAACGCCGATCTGGGGCGGTTCCACGGATTCTATGTCCTGTGTACAACTGGCATGTCCCTTTTTACAATCTTGTAGAGAAGTAGCGACGGCCGATTCGCTGCTGGAACACGTCAAGACTCACGCGGTGCCGCAAGTTCATTTCTATTCCGGAAGCGCAAAAATTCCGCTGCCACTTCCCTTCGGATGCGATGCTCTTTATATATTTCATCATGGGAGTGATATATTTTTCTTCCAGGTGTGACATCTTCCGAAACACACTATTTATTTTTCTTTTTCATTTCTAAGGCATTTCTTTGCGTTTTAAATCTTTGCAGTTAAAAATGTTAGAAAAAGGAAGGCTGGAAAATTCATCTATAATTAATATAGTTCTATAGATTATCATTTCAATCAGACACTTCTATTGGAGAGTTTATTAAATAATAAAACATGACATAAAAAGTCTGATATTTCTGAGATTTGATTATCTAGAGAAATCTAGAGAAAGAGAATTTTACAAATAATTAATAATATTGTGTATGTCGTCACATTTTATACAAAAATATGTAAAAAATGTGCAAATGCATCTTCTACGAAATTATTCGATCTTTTTACAAGATGGAAATTTTTTGTGAAACAAAAAATTACTTGTGTTACATAGCAGCAAAAAAAACGCGGAAAATTTATGTTTGCAGTAAATATGACAAATCAAATTTTTGTTATATAGTGCAGAGAGGAAGTGGCATGGATGACATATCCCGCTAGAACGACATACACAAGCAGCACGTGGGAATGGACGTTGCAAGCTTCGGGCGACGACGGTAGGAAGGTGCAATTGCAAAGACACATCGCGAGTTTGGAGGATCCTGTAACGCTATCCTCGCAGCATATCGCACCACTGTCAAATTCATTATTATTGAAAACTATTAACATAAAAATATCGGAATGCCGAGCTCACGATAAATTGTACGTGTAAAAGAAACGAAACATCTGCTATTCTTAATTATATCCATCATTCACAAGTAAAATGAATTGAAAACATTGTTCTACAAAAGTAAAAAACCTTTATTCGTCATCAATATTGTAAATCGTCAACTGATACACAATGTATGGATGTTCGCATCTATTTTGAGTAGAAGATATAAATCCGAGATTAAAATTTCTTATATGTATGTATTACGAATATCATTTATCGTTCATCATATAAAATAAAAACACTAGTTTAATACATGCAATACTAAGTTAATTAAAAATAAAATCTTATTCATGATACACACACCACTTGATGCAAGCACTTTTATCAGTACATATCAAATACGAGTGTTGTCTGCTTTAACATTAATAACAGTATCTCATGAATAATGCAAACATACATATAAAATATGATGTACCATAAAATACATTTACAATAAAATATTTTTAATGAAAATGATCTTATAAAAAAAAATATTTGGAACATGGTAGTAATCACATTTAAGGTGTTTTGCGCGATACTTCTTCCATATACGGCTTAAAAAAGTCATGTCGACCAGTTCTTGATGCTTGACCAGCCATTAAATCATACGCATACTTGTAAATTGCCAAATAATTCTCTTTTCCGGGCATATTTAATTCGACTTTATAGACATGATTATCGAACGAAGATGACTTCGTAGTGAGGGCAACTGGCCTAGTTTTAGGAAACTTTCGACGGTCTGAGAGATTTGACGGCCTGGGAGATGCAGACGCCAAATTCTCTTCCTCTTTTTCTTTGTCCCGTTTGGGAGAACTGCAAATTCTGATTAACAATTTTTGGCAGCCCAAAATCTTGCCTTCATGATTTTCTAAAGTAAATGTTAATTCAGTTGGTCTCCGATTCATGCCGGATTGGCAGCTATTCTTGCATAGAAACTTGAAGACCATTGTTATATGTTGTGAGCCATGTTCAAACTTCAAACCGCACAATGGTGTTACAACAGAAAGATGTTCATTTATCTCCTCATATTCACTTGGATGATTAACACAATGGACTACATGTTTTATCTTACATAATTCCATGCTTTGATTAATGAGATTAGTTGGTGCCATGTGGTTATGGCATCTTTTAACCGGATCGCTTCTATATTCTTCCAACTTAAACAGCATTGCGGTGCGAAGGTACAATCCTGGTGTATTGGGATTCCATCCCATAAATCGTACAGGTAAAGTTTTTTCCATTTTGATAAAAACTTTATGCAGTTTAGCAGAGTACTGTATGCAAAAAAAGAAAATAAGCAAAAATATAAGCTTAGATATATTTTGTGATAGTATATTAAACATAAATCTTTCAAAAATAATTCACGTTACATGTAAAATAATAAAATTCTAATTTTTAACACATTAATTTATATCATCATAAAATTAATATTATCATGCATTGGGCATATCTACCTACTACACAAAAAGTTCATATTTATATCCAAAACTTGCCTAAACATGAATTTAATACAAAATGAACAATATTATAATACATGATTGCTTAAATGATCAGAAGAAATTTAAGCAAGTTTATATATACTTCTATGGAACAATTGTTTGGGTATCAAAATACAAAATCTTAAGATGTTTTTACTTTCAGCATCTCGCAGCTTCAATACTGTTGTAAGATGATACTCAAAAAATCGTTTATATGGGATATCCCCATATATGAAAATTATATATAATCACATAGTTAAAAACTACTCATATTTACCATTATCATCAAGAGGCAGAATTTATCTGCAAGTATATATTATCTTATAATAAACTTGATTTTAATTCAAAAAATAAAAATCTATGGACATGATTTACCTTGATTTCCTTATAAACTTTTAATAAATTATAAATTTAATATATTTAGATACATTAAATTTTCAAAATATATAAAAATTGGCTTCATTGAAAGACTTACCATCCAGTCTTGACCAGTACCCCCATCTCCAAGAGAATATTTAAAATCGTATTTTTGAGGAAACATTAAATCATTGGTTGAATCAATGTAATAGAGATCATTGACTGACATACATAATTCTGATGGTGAATAATGTAAAGCTCTTCCTGCAGTATTATTGTCTTCACTTTCTACTTTAGTCTTTAATAATTTTTCCATAGATTGAAATGACAAATTGCAGCAAAGATTTGCTGAACCTTGAGTCAATGTCAGGTTCTCTTTATCATCACTTGAAGGAAAAAGAAAATATAATAAATTATAGCACTTACGCTTTTTTATATGTTATGAAATATCCGATTTATAACGTGTATGAAAATTGAACGCATGTGTACGTATTCGGCACATTTCCTATAACATCGATAACAAAGAGATACTTACAATGGATTTTCTAAACCAGCCATACTCTCTAGTTGCTCAAATGTTCCATCACTCATCAGTGCAGACTCCTGAGAGCAGCTTTGATTATCAGAATAATGTTTATTCATCATGGAAAGAAATACAGAAACATACTTTTTTAATATCGCACCTCGCGAAAAATAGCGATAGTCGACGTAACTTCTATTGGACAAGAATGCTGCAGAATACACTGGAATACACTGGTGTGCACTTCCAGACAGTGCTGCCAGTCGGGTCGAGTTGCCCCTTCAATCCCCTCCACAAATTCCGCCATGCACAATAACGTGTTATGAGCGCGCGGACCCCAGTAAACGTATACATATATTGAATAATAAAGATATTTGAGGACAAGTTAAAGAAAAGTAAAATATTAAAATAACAAATAAAAATGTATGTTTTCCAGCAAAGGACACAGGTTGACACAAATCGACACAAGTATCACTCTGTCTTTGTTCGATATTCAATGAGCAACAGAGAGAATAATACTTTTGTGTCGCTTGTGTCTCTTGGTGGAAAACTACCAAAATATTAAGCTTATTTGAATCTTCCCATGCTACAACTTGCGTCTGTATGTTCTTAAAGTATATCCACATAAACTTGCATAGGCGCAATGGTGGGTGTTTACGATAATTCAAGTTCGAGTTAGTTTCACTAGGACCGAAAAATGAGATAGACATAACCATCTAGAATCTTTATGATTTATGACAACTCAACGCTGTCTTGTATTGCTTGAGTTAAATTAATTGAATTTGTTGAGTTTATAGAGCAAATTTTATTGTAATAAAAAATGTTAACTGCAAATCAGTCTATGAAAGAAACAAATAATGTTGGTATGTATGTGTGTGTGTGTGTTGGTATACCTCTTTAATAGATATAATTATA